ACATATTTCTAAATAAAATGTAATAATAATTATTTTATGGAATTCACAAATCTTCAATTTACGCAATATTTAGTTTGTATGGAATGCACTACAGTTCAGTTGAACATAGTCAATGTTCGGAATGGCTTCTCTAGTACGTAGTACATATAACTCAATGGATTTACCATCTAGGGCTGCATCAACACTTACCAACAGATGTGATTGTCTTCAAGAACTGCCTTATGATAAGTTAAAAAAAAATCTCGCTCACGCTATAGAAAGGGGATCGTGACGGAATAATTTTGCATTCTTTCTCGCCTAGCCCCCAGCCGTCAAAATCGTACCGTGCAATAAGGAACATCGTTCCAAAAATGATTTTAAAGACAAGTTACCACTGAAACTTATTTCTAATAATGAACAAGAAAAACATGTCCCATGCACTAGAGCTAACATGTTTATAGAAAAAAAATTGCCAAACATTTCCGTTGAAGAAAGAGAGAAAAAAATCGTATTTATTTTTTCTTTCGAGTTTACAAGAAAAGTGTAATACTTACTGCCGACAATTATTTTATATTATAATATTACATGATATTCCCTTTAAAATGACACCAATATCAATTACATCTTATATACTCAATATACATAAGTATATAATGTTTACCCAATATAAATTTGAATAAATAAGTAAATAAATGAAAAAAATAGGTTTTAATAATTTCTAGACACATGTCAACAGATATTTCGTTTATAAATTGCTATCAACGTGTTAATAGTGAATCATTATTTTATATATTGCATTCATTTAACACAAAAAACTGTTTAGAATACATTTCAAACAACATATAGGTAATGAACAAACGATGATCGCGTATAGTGATTAAAATTTAGAGCTAAATTATTATATGTAAACGTTTTGGAATTGTCGTAATGATACATAATTAGTTTGATGTACAATAACATTAGAAATAACGTATAAAAACATAAAACTTACCACATTTTTGATCAAATACCTCACACGTTAACATTCCACAAAAAAAATGGCGAATCTATCTTTTGCGCTGTACGCGTTTGAAACGAAAGATGTCGTTTGGTGCCTAGACAGGTGAGGCAATAATGGTTTTTGGGGACTGTAGTCACCGTGGATAGTTCAGTGGTTAAGATTATTATCAATTGATACCATGATTCTTGTATAGGACAGTTACTATACTCTTTGCCTGATACTGAGAGGCCCAGAAGGGCTATAACCCAGAGCGGTATAGTCAATTATAAAAAAAGTTTTATAAATTGGTTATGGCTCCAGTACACGTTGGCCGAGCGCGCTCGCCGAGTGCGCTCGGCCAACGTGTACTGGGCCATTTTGTATGTATTTGGCGTTTGCGGCCAACGCTCGCCGTTGAGCCGTATAGTGTCGGTTTTCCGTGCACAAATCAAAGGAATTTGGCGCAAGCCGCAAACAGTGTTCACACGTTGGCCGAGTGTTCAGTTCATAGTTACGCGTCGGAGTAGACTGTAGTGTCGGCTTAATAAAATTGTTTCAACATGGCGACATGGACTAATGAGGAAATATTTATTTATTTATTTAACAGTTTATGTATACACATAATTCGATAGGAAAATGGTAAAAACATAATTATGTACAAAGGCACTGCCTATTCCATGATGAAATTTCTTCCAGCAGGCCTATTGAAGGATAGTTGAAGGAAATAGAGGTAGTCAAAGTGTGCACTTACATAAATATACATATAAAATACACACACACACACACACACACACACACACATATATACATATATACATATATATATATATATATATATATATATATATATATATATATATATTTATATATATATATATATGCATGTATATATATAAATAATTATCATATATTATGAAAAAATATATAATTCAATATAATATATTTTTAATGTTACTTATATGCATACCAACATATTACGATTTAATAATTATGGAGTGAAATATTGATTCATTGTTCATTGATTGATCCTCACAATGAATCAGTTATATGGAACCCCAAACATGAGCAACATAAAAATAAAACCAGAGTAACTTGCCTAACTGCATTAAATAATACATGTTTAGTTGCGATTTCAGAGTACCTACCTAATGATAAATATTATTATAAATTATCTCTGCGTTTATGTTGCTCAGGGATAATGTAGCTTAGGGGCTTCTTTTGGGCTATCATTTATTTTGAAAAAACCCCCAGCGAAGCGGGCACGGGTCAGCTAGTAGATCCTATAAAGGTTTCTGTTTTCCTTTTGAGGTCGGAACCCTAAAAAGGACAAATTGGGATTATTGTTGTATGTGTAGTTTTTTTTCGTTCACTCTGAGAAGAGTGAAGCGCTGTATAAGTATATGACAGCGGCCGCGATTGCCCTAACGTCCATCATCATCTAGCTACCAACGCAGAATGAAACACGCCAACGTGTGAACGGCACCACGAAAATCTGCCGAGTGCGCTCGCCAAGCGCGCTCGGCCAACGTTTACTGGAGCCATTAGATTCATGAAGTTAAAACCATAGATAAATATATATGTAGCAAGCTAGCTATAACTTCATGGTTAGATTGGCTTTGTTTCCCGCCTAAGGGTATTAGTGTTCTGTGCTTTGTTTTGTTTTTTCTAATTAAGGAATTCCTCTCATACCCCATTTACACTCTCGCGCGAGTGACGAGGCGAGTCGCGAGGCGAGCCACGAGGCGCGAGTGTAAACGCTAGCTCGTGGCTCGCCTCGCAGCTCGCCTCGCCACTCGCGGCGCTCGCGTCGGAGGCGGTTTTTTGGGCACGAGGCAAAGGGCCTCGCGAGGGACGCGAGCGTGGTGTTTACACTCGCGTCTCGTTTCAGTTTGTTTACGGCGCCCTTCCATAATAACATTCGAATTGCTTTTGGTTTAAAATACAATTTTAATAAAATAATATTATTTAATATTGCTATATATAAAATAATAAAAATATTAAAATATTAAAAAATATAAAATTATTATTTAATCTTAATAGGTACTCGCAGTTTATATAAAATTATGAAACTGAAAAGGTTCTGTTTCGATGAATAGATATCATCCGTCATATTCTTCCTCAACGACGTATTTTTATTAATTTCCATCTTTTTAAAATGGTCAAACATCGATAAATCCTTATTAAGGCAAGAGTTGATGCCGCTATTATTTCGACGTCATTCATCGTTGCTGGCTCAACGCAAACTGACCGCATCGCGAGAGTGTAAACAGGCACTCGTTACCTCACAACAACACGCGAGCTGCGAGGCGAGGTACGAGGCGAGCCGCGAGGCGAGAGTCTAAACGAGGTATCAGACCTTGACATTTTATTGGACATATTTAGTTAGAACTATGGTCAAGCCAAAGAGTATAGTAGGTCAGGCCAGACGATTTTTTTAAAAAATGGTAAAAATAACTTAGAGTCATTACTATGTTCATATCCAAAAATAAAAAATTATCAACAATTAAAATATCGAATTATTTATATGAAGGTCAAGTGAGCGCTAGATTGACGACGATTGCAAGACGATTTGTCGATAAATGAAATGTTTCGAGAAATTATCAATTACTGTGTAGTGGCGGTGTATGAATATTCATACTATTCCGTGGGTTTCGTAAGAGGCGACTGATCCACTGTTCAATACAACAAGGTACGTGTACCGTGGAACAGAACGTGGCAACTATGACAAGTATACCCTCTATGAGGAATATAGTGGAGGCCTATGTTCATTGGGGGTTTTTATAGGATGTAACGGTCCATCACCAGCAGTGGAATGAAACTGTAAGGAGAGGGAGGGATTAATTTTATTATTTAAAAAAATATTTTTGTTTTTTTTTTTTATAGAAGAGGGGGCAAACGAGCATGCGGCTCACCTGATGGTAAGTGACTACCGCCGCCCATGAACAACCGCAACACCAGGGGAATTGCAGATGCGTTGCCGGCCGTTTAGAAAGGTGTAAGCTCTTTTCTTGAAGGTCCCTAAGTCGTATCGGTCCGGAAAATCCGCCGGTGGTAAACAATTATGTGTAAAAAAGTCATCAAACAGCATCAAACAATTTATTAAACAAAAGTTGCGTAAACAAGTTCAATGGTTAAAACAATATTAAATAACAAAACCAAACAATTCTGCTGAAAAGAAAAAAAAGTAAATATTATTTCACTTTTACAACTAAGGCAAATCTAACGAATCGCTATATTATGTTAAAATTCAATAAATATTATGAAGAAAGAAACAAGGACATAGAAACACTTGATTTTCATAAAGAAAAGAAATATATAATATAATTATATCGATAAACTCAGTAGAAGCCTCAAAAAAAATTAAATCACAGGTATATACTTGTACATCCGTAAGATAGCGTAATAAAGTATATACTTTATTACGCTATCTTTGAGCAACGCCATTTTTCTAACGACTTCAAACAGGAGAAGGAAGTCGACTGTGTTTTTTTATGTGTGTTACCTCATAACCTTCTGGGTGAACTGATTTCGATGATTCTTTTTTTATTTGAAAGCTGGTGCTTCACATTCACATTTTTATTTTTAGTTATTGTTGAAAACAACTTCGCCATAATGTTCACTATATATCGAAATTATAACATAAAACGTAATTTTCGCGCATTGGACTTTGTGGGATATGAAAATTTGTGTTTATTACATGATTTATTGTGATAACTCACACTTTTTATTTACTTTTCAGTTAATTCTGGCTATTAGATATAGTGATACGTGAACGACACAGTATTTGAAATGGCAATTTTATAAAATATATGAAATTGTTACGAAGCAAAATATAAGGAATTCAATTTTAAAACAGTGTAATTACTTACCATTTGTATAAAAACTAACAAAAAACTTTCTATTGTACCCACTTAACTTTTTTAACGTAGTGTAGTGATCATATACTCTTTGGTTCTGAGGGGTCCTTTCTAAATATTACCATACTCTTTGGAGCGTTCTACAAAGTAGACCTTGGATTGCCTCATGTGTACTTCAAAGGCTTGACAGATTAATATTGTTACATTTCGTTGATTTAATTAAAAGAAAAAATATTTGTTAAGCTATAGGTGAAAGTAATGTAACACAAATGCTTAAAACATTTATAGTTAGTAAAAATTCTCATTTCAACACTACAAGTGGGTTTCAAATGTAAACAAAAATCGTATAATTCACGTAAGTAAAAGATTGGTTTAAAATTTATTTTAGGATGGTAATTTACACCCATTACAACGGCACACTATTATCAGACACGAAAAAACACGCCAGTTACTACGCCCACAAGAACGTATCAACAATGTATGTATCTGATATCAGTACAGTTACAAGGCGTTTGGCCGGATGGCCGCCAGCGTAGAGCAATTCGGTAACATTGCATGCCATGCAGGGATTAGCTGTCGGTCTAGTCGTAAAACATTATAGTGTTGGTCGGTTACAGAATGTTCTAGCGGCCATAGTCGCAATTTATACAAAGAATAATCTGTCACGGTATAGAAAATAAATAGTAATAACTTATCATAAATAATAAATAAAATTATCAGAAAACACAGACAGTAGCACAACAAATATGGGGAACCATTACTAAAGCTATTAACCGGACCTGGCTTGAGGTTGAGGTGCAGTATGAGGGATGGCACTGGGAGATGACAACATTCTAGGAACAGATACATAGTATCTATACAAATAAATGGAACTGTGGTGTCTGTTTGTAATGTCAAAATAACAACTTTTTACTAGATGAATGTGAAAGTATATATGGTAATTAAAACAAAAAATAAACAAAAACAATTTTTAAAATATTTGTCGGTTTATTCCGGTCTGTTTATTCTGCTTAATCTCTGAAATGGCTCAAGTGATTTTGACAGGACTTTCACTGGCAGATAGCTGATATCATAAGAGGTAACTTAGGCTACTTTTATGTCAGAAAAATGAATTAGGATTCCGTGCAAAAAAATTAACACCCATGAAATAATAAACAAAATCCAAATCGAATAGGATTATTCTACAAACAAAGTTCAGGCACAAAGGCACGTCTTGTATTTATAAAAAACTTGAACGGCTCTGTGTTGCAGTGGCTTAGCAATGAGTTGCAGCCCTAAAGGCCATGGGTTTGAATCCCGTATGAAACAAGTATTTGTATCACTTACAAATTATTGTTCTGAGTCTGGATGTTTGTCCTTGTGAAATTTATGTATGTAAACTGGCCCCACAATACAGGAGAAAATCCTAGTTTTTTAAAAAACAAAAAGAAAAAAAAAAGAATATGTTTTGACAGAAACACATGGGCTCAATTGACTTAACTTATATTTTTTCATAAACACACAGCAGACTATCTAAATAGAGATGTGTTGTCATCCTTTTCATTAAGATTGAAACCCTCATCATCGAAAAATAGGTCTCTAGTTGTCATCACTAATTTACCTTATTCTTTCAGATATAATGAAAACTGCCAAGTATGTAAGGTTAAATAAATATGAGAGCTGTTTGCATAAGAAGCTGGTCACCATTCAAATAAAATTGAACAAATGCCAAAGGAGTAAGCAACAATGCATGAAAATACTTAAGGCAATTCATAAAACAATCATCTTTGATGACAGTTTTACTAAAGTATTAGAAAATGTTTCCTCCAGTGCTAAAATTTTATCCTTATTAAAGATCAGAGATAAGAGTAAAAAACTTAATTTGCATTATTTTAAAATTGAAGAGAAGCTAAATGCTCTTAGAATTTACTTACAAAATCCAATTGGGTATAAATTTCTAAGTAAAATTTTTGTTTTACCTTCCTCTTGTGTTGTAAATAAATTAATAAGTGAAGCAAACATAAAACCAGGTATAAACAAAGACATTTTTTGTAAACTACGTAAGAGAGCTGCTAAAATGATCTTGCATGAGAAACTATGTGTATTGATGTTCGGTGAGATGACAATTAAAAGGAACATCACATACAATGATCAAAAGGATTGTGTAATTGGATTAATTAAAAATGATGTAAAAAATTCAAAAGGTTTTGCTGACAGATGTCTTGTATTTATGATCAGAGGTTTAAAAAAAGGCTACGGGCAACCTCTATATTATTCCTTTTCGTCTGGACCTACTGAAGGGCCTGAACTTTCTTCGCAGATTAAACAAATTATAAGAGAATTGTTTGACGTTGGTCTGATACCGATAGCCACTGTATGCAAGCCAGGAAAAAATAATGAAAGGGCAATTAAAATTTTAATTGAAGAAACTAGAGCCGAGCTTTCAACTAAAGGTGAGATCTTGAAGAATAACATTTTCAAAGTACACAACAAACAAATTATTCCTTTATTTGACCCACCACATCTACTGATCGGGATGAGAGATAATTTGATAAATAAAAATTTGGTTTATCTTAAGAATGGAGAAGAATGTGTTGCTAAATGGGACCACATTAAGATGCTATATATGGAAAATCTGTCTTACAGAGAGCACAGTCTTATACCAAAAATTACAGAAAACCATGTTATTCCAAGCAAAATTGATAAAAGTAAATTTATATTTGCCACACAGATCTTTAGTTCATCGGTATCTGTTTGCATGGGATATGTAGCCAGTGAAGGTAAGATTAAATTTGTTTTATATTGCCTATATATTTTTTTGGTTTAGGACCTGAAAGAATTGTACCTGATGGTACAAGTCGCGGCACGTAAGTCTAGCGCTGAACGAAACGTGGAGGGGACACGCACAAATTGAATTGCACAAATGCGACTGCAGAGACAATCAGCGGGTGGGAACGATACTCACAAGACAATCAGTGCAACTTATGCGCAATAACGGTCACCGACTTTCGGACCGCTACTTATATGTGAGTACTGTAGCTCATGGATCTTCAACCAACATACATTACCATTACAGTCTATAAAAGTCCGCTGCTGAACACAGGCCTTCCCTATAGACTGCCTCGGTATGTCAACTGCAGTTTTTTTTATTATTATGAGTTGTTGTCAGAAAAATGCTGTTGCCCATCACCTGTTTCAATTTCCCTCTGTTGCTGTCCTCTTACGACACCCACGGGCGTTATTGGGTAGTGGTTATTCTTACACCATCACTACACGGCTTTGTGTAAGGAAAACTGATTTCTGAAATTAGCTTTACAACTAATTTGCTGCCATGCTATTGTTGCATGTTCCCTTTTTCGTTTTAAAAACTTCTCACCCTTCAAAACCAAGCTTTTGCTGGTTAATACCCTTGTATCATTATAGATTATGTGGATGTGTGGTATCCAGACCTATAGCAAAATCTTCTTACATGTTGGAGTGCCATTTCAACAACTATAAGATTTATCTTCAATTTACGAAAATAAGAGTACATAACTTATATGGATTTCTATTGGTCAGGGGTGTTGCTTGAGATATTACCAACACTCTTTTCTTAATAGTTAGTTAGTTTAGTTTAGTTTACGACGGGCTGTTTTCTACAACACCACGTCTAAGAGCGTATTTTGCGTGTGGGCAGGAACACATTTTTCTTTTGGTAGTATACAACTCTTGACCGTGAACTACATTCTTCTAACGCTCTTAAGATTCATATACCTCAACAAAGCACAGTGTTTTTTTAATTTTTAAGTTACACTTCAGGCATTACTTCTATGGAATGCATTGTCAGTCGATATAAGAGAACACCAAATGAACATATGTTTAAAAACTGGTTTGATAACATTATCTTGAGAAAAACTCGATCTGTCATTTTATTTTTATTTTAGTTTATTTTATATATTATGTAAGCAACATTTCTTATTTTTACTTCTTAACTAATAACATCATTACAGTTCTAGTAGCCAATGCGATGTTATAACTAACCTATAAATGTAACTATATGTGTATCAACTAGAATGAGAAATAATCTACTAATAAAAGAAATTACAAGTTTGAATGCAACTGAAGCTGTAATTATGAATTTCGTCTGACTGCATGTAAATATGTCTGAAGCCGGCGCCAGATACAGCTTTAAACATTTGAACGCTTGTTTGAAGATCCTTGTGGCACGGAACTTTGAATTAATGTTGTGCGCAAAGAAATGCACTTTGCCAAGCGGTGTCGGTTTTTAGCGCACATCAAAGCGTTCAAAGTCGACAGTGTTCAAATGTTTGCGTAGCCTGCCACACTTGTGCAAAGTTCAGTCGCGCGAGCGTTGTTGAGCGGGACCAGGGGGGTACACTTCCATACTTTAGACAGGGATCCAATAATCTGCAAAGACACTAGTGCCATCTTATACGATATCCGCATAAACTTTCGAACATCAATTTCTAAAAGGTGTGCTATATGGCGATTACATCAATTCTGGTTATTGGGTATGGAATTTAATGGAATTCTCTAAAGTTATGACATAAATATAAAAGAGTAATTATTATACGGACATTCAAAAGCCTCATTAAAATATATAACAAAATATTTAACAGTGGTAGAGCCATGCGGCAGCTTTTGCTGTCGCACGGATGGGCCGGCTCGAACCGGGGTAGTACCACGTCCTCACAGAAAACCAGCGTGAAGTAAAGGTTTACCTCTGCATTTCGCTTGGTGAGTGCAGGTGGCCGGAGGCCCTTTTTACTGGAAATGAGGCATTCCATCTTAGTCCTCACGGGTGACAACGCATCTACATTTTGATTTGTAACAGAGGATAGATGTAGATTTCTATGGGCCGCAGCAACCACTTACCATCAGGTGGACTGTGTGCTCGTTTGTCACCCTTATCCTATAATAAAAAAATTTTTTTTTGTCAGTCTGAGATGCAACAAGTTTCTTGATTTGCCAAGTGGCAAGTGTTAACTTTATTACTTTATCACATAATGGCTACCGGCGCGGTGTGTGAGCAAGTCGTTGTTTTGTTTGTTGTTTTTTGTTTTGTAATTTTCGGTTGTTGGGGCTACAATAAGTTTGGTTGAGTTGAGATTAGCCTTCATCCCGTCTTATAGTTTTTCATGCTGGAACCACATTGTATGTACATATGTGTAGTGTTGTGCGAAATGGACGCTTTCATTTATCATTCCGGTAACCCGGTACAAATATATTATAATTTGGTTTGGTATTGTATTGTGCGGATATAGACGCTTTTACATCTTGTTTGTTCAAATTCCGAGGACTTGTGCTATTGGATGTACATAAAACAAAATTGAATCAATATTTCATTGATGTTACAATTAATATAATAATTTACAGTTGATGTACATAGATCAATTAATTGCATTTTAGCTGATAAGCTCACATGTGAGGCTCATGATGAAATGAAATTGTATGCTCAGCAATATATAATAAGCACCGACATAATAAAAGTAACAAATGAAATAATTAACAATCGAATATTTTTATTTAATGGCTGTATTATATAGATTTCTGTTTTGTAAACATTCATTGGATTTTTTTACAGAATCTTGAATTTAATATTTTTTTACCTAACAAATGTAAGAAATAGCAGTTAATTAGCAGTTTTTGAAATGTCCGATTTCATCTTAACATATATTTGCTTTAATAAAAATAAGAATATTTTGGTATAAATTGCAATATAATAAAAATAAATGTTTCAATTACTAGAATCTATAATACATATTTAATAAAACCCTAATACCTTAAAATATAAATATAACTGGCTATAGTATAAATATCTGTATATGCATAACTCTACATATAACTATCTATAGTCAAAATATTGAGATTAGTTCAACGGATATGATACCAGGCGGCGACACAGTGCCACTATTTGTATTGGGTGACAAAAAATCCTAGAAGATGGCTCTCTATTCCGGTATATATTACTCTACTCTATAAGCGGGACGGTCGTACGCAGTACGTTTAAAAAATAGGTCCAATCGTAACGACAATAAAAAACAATCGAATGAATGTGATTTGTATGTTCGGCTGTTATCTGAAAAGTTAAAACCCTTGGATGAAAAAGACAGACTAGTACCTACTTATGAATGAAATAGATAATCTAATATGTAAATATGTTATTGTATTGTATTTTACTGTATTATTTTTGCACTCGTAATATATAATGACATGCACTTAAATAATACTGGCACACTGCATCCAAAGAAATCATCGTCCATCTTGTTTACGGTTTATCAACGTACTACGGAGAGATGTGTTTGCGAAGCATGTCTGGCAGGTTGCGCCAATAAGTGTTCAAACAAGTGTTGAAAGTCCTTCAAATAAGTGTTCAAATGTTTTTGATATATCTGGCGCCGGCTTTAATATTGTGTATCGCACTTGACAATGGTATATTCTGAAGCAGGTACGTCCTAGTAGCTGGCAGGAGAAGTTATATGTGCGCGCAGCAGCAACGATAAGTTGCAAACGAGTACCATTTTTTGTTATGTGGATGACAGCACAGGCTGTGACAATATTTTACGGGATCATATCGTTGAGTACCGGAACAAACTTGTGTCTGAAGTCGAGTCGTTTTTAAAAAAAGTCACGCATTGGGGACGATTAAATCTAGTCCAGTTTAACCCTCAGAAAGCACAGCTTTGCGCGTATACCACTAAAACGAACCCCTCTGTCGTATCTCTTCAATTATAAGGCACTCCTGTTGCTGCTTCAGCTAGCATCGGAATCTCCGGCGATCTATCGAATAGTGTACAGTTTCGTGTTCACTAGGAAGGGAAGGCCAATTTGGCCTCTAAAAAGCTTGGCGTGCTCAGCAGAGCGAGACAGTATTTCATGCCGGCACATCGCTTGCAACTTTACAAAGTGAATACTGTTCTCATCTCTGGGCCGGGGCACCCCAGTGCCAGCTCCTTCCACTTGCCTGCATCTAGCGCAAAGCTGCTCGATACGTCGGCGGCCGAGTTCTTTCAGGTCAGCTCGATTCACTGCGAAGCGATGCTGCATCCCTTTGCATTTTCTATCGCATTTACCACGTGGAGTGGAATTGTTGGTATTAACTCCAGTCGCCAACTTTCACGAACGCACATTAGGACTAAACTCATGATATCATCAACATCACATGGATGATTGGCGACCCACCACTGCTTTTTATTAGGAGTTTTATTCCTCGTACGATTTCTTTGTGGAATCTTTTACCACCGGCGATTTTTTGCGGACCGATACGACTTAGGGACCTCCAAAAAAGAGCTTACTGCTTTCTAAAAGGCCGGCAACGCACCTGAAATTCCGCTGGTGTTTTAGTTGTTCATTGGCGGTAGCCACTAAGCATCTGGTGAGTCGCGAGGTTGTTTGCCCCCTCTTCTATTAAAAAAATTCAAAGACTACTTTATCAATTATTCGTATTTTTTCAAAAAATGCTTAGTTTTCTACCGATTTTAAAAAAGAGGAGGTACTCAATTCGACTGTGTGTTTTTTTCTTCAATTTTTTCATGTGTTACCTCATAACTTTTTTCTGGGTGAACCAATTTCGATGATTCTTTTCATTTGATAGCTGGTGCTTCTCATGTGATCCCATATAAATTTGTTTAAGGTCTGACCAATAGTTTTTGACTTATCCTTAATAATATATATTGAAGTCGGTTGTACAACATTTTTAATTTTATTGAAGTTGGTAAAAATTACCTTGCGTACATTCGCTCGATAAAATAAAATGATGTGTCTTACCTAGTTTGTTGTTCTTTTTTTTTTAAAAAGCGTTAGCGGTCAACCATCGCAGACTCTACATCACCTGATGATGCCTCGTGTAGAGGCGAAACACGTGTCGTATTGTCGTCAGTCATCAGTCTTTCCTAGTGTAGTGGTGTTGGGAGTAGTGGTGCTGGGATTAGTGGTTACGGTGATCGTGCACGCAATTGAGGGAGGGCGGGAGGCGCTATTCAAACTAGGTAAGAAACATCATTTTATTTTATCGAGCGGATGTACGCGAAGAAATATTTTACCTACTTTAATGTAATGGATTTCCGCAAAGTAACACCTGATTCTATTAACTATCTTTAATTTTAAATTATTCGAATAAATTATAGCCTAAATCCCACCTGGCGTTGCTCTTGTCATGTTTTATCACAATCGGTTCAGCCGTTCCGAAGGTTAGCCCGGACAGACAACATTTTTAAAAATGGTTATTTATGTCTTAACAGCATGCATGAGCGCCCTGAGCTTAATAGAAACCAGTTATATTAATATTACAAATGGACACTTCAATATTATGTTATGTGTAGATATAGATATAGACTGCTATTTGGCCGTCAGGTATTTCATCTTAGTTCTCAGAGATGACAACGCATCTGTAGCCTTATTCTTTGTTTAAAGTTGTAGTTGCAGTAGCGAGTTACTATCTAGCGGACTGTAAGCGTGTTTATCACTTCAGTTTTATAAAAAAAAAAAAAACGTGCGCTGTTTATAATTTGTTTAATTTTTGCAGAAGTTGGAATTTTACCAAAGGAATGTCAAGAAACTGCAAAAATACTCATGCTTTTTGATAAACTTTTTGACTCTCTTAATGGGAGCTTAGCACAAAGAGAAAAGTCATATTACGAAAAGCCATTGCTGAGGGCGGTCACACCAACATCAAGGCACTATTTGCTATGGAAGGAAGCGAAAATACTTTTAAGTGGTATGAAATTCGTTAACAAAACAAAACAAGTAAAGAATGTGTCCCTAATGAGAAATTGGATATCCACAATAGAGGGGATTGAACTGTTAACCAGAATATTACTAAATAAATACGGTATCACGTCCGTTTATATGCGAAATTTAAACCAGGATCCTTTGGAGAATTTCTTTGCTCAGATTCGTTATGTTTGTGGAAATATTTATCCCACAGCGAATAGATTCTCAATCGCTTTTACTAGTCTTTTAATTAAAAACGCTAATAAAACCAAGTCACCGGAAAATAATTTCGCAACGGAAAATTGTAAAAATTTGATCTTCTTGAAATTTAATAAGAAAATACCCTCTCCATACGCCACTGAAATTAATAGAAAACATTTGAATATAGATTACACATTGGCGGATGCAGAAAAACAAAGTCCTCCAGTTAATAGTAGTTCAAATTATGTAGCAGGGTACCTATATAAGAAAGCGCAACAAAAAATTTATAAAAGTTGCAGAAAATGCAATGAAGTTATGACGTCAAAAACACAGTGTAAATATATTTCTTTTCGGCGATACGGTAAGCGGTGGTTTTGTTATCCGAGTGTAGAGTTAGTAGAGATAGTTTCTAAATTACAAGCAATTTGTCGGACTGTACTTTTTGATGAAATACATAATGAGAATTTTAAAAAATACTTAAAAAAAGTAATTTTATCAAATTCTGTTTTCGAAAAAGTATCCTGCAATAAACATAAATGTAAGTTAAAAAAGTACCTCATAAATGCAGTAATGAAATTATGCATTAAAAGTTATTGTAAAATAATTAATAAAATACTAAGTGGCCATAGAGATGTTGCCGACTGCAATGATAATCTGCAAAATGCGGCTAAATACACGCGGGAAATTAATAAAGAAGTAAGTAAGAAGTTAGTACCTGAAGTTACTTTAATATAGGACAAGAAATGAAAGCCATTTTGTGTTCGTTTTTTGTTTTGTTAGATTATTGATCTTACTTCCACAATGTGGAATATCATTGTAATTGTAAAAATAAATGTATATTTGTAAATAATTTTAAATATATAACTACATACAGTAATTAAATTTTCATTGTTCGACTGCAACACTAGTGTTTGAGTACAACGCCCTCTGGTGGTGTGGTATTAAATCCCTAGTTGGTAAATCGCACTGTCTTAGTGTATCAAAAGCCTGTTTACTGTTGCCTTTAAAGTCACTATATACTGAGAATTATAGTGGACGGAAAGGTGCTTGCTAATTGTTGAACCTCTGCTGTGCGCATTATAAAAGACGAATATAAGTCTTTTTAAAAGAAGTAAATCAATCGCACACGGTAGAGCCATGCTGTAGCTATATTATAGTTGTAGCACGAATGGGTCGGCTCGACCGGGGCAGGACCACGCTCTCACAGAATACCAGCGTCAAATAGCAGCTCAATGCTGCTGTATTTCGTATGGTGAGTGTAGAGAACCGGAGACCCCTTTTACTGGAAATGACATTCTATCTTAGTCCTCATGGGTAACAACGCATTTGCATTTTGATTAGTAATTGAGTATAGATGTAGATGTCTATGGGCCACGGCATCCATTTACCATCATGTGAGCTAAGTGCTCGCTTGTCACCGTCATTCTTTAAAAACAAACTGCTCTGGCAGACTGTTCTGCCTGGGCAGATAGTTTTTTTGTGATGTTGGATTTGATCAATACTCTACTACAGCGCCCGCCATCTATCGGGACCATGTTATTGATTTTCTTTTTTCGCACTGAATCAACAAATTGGTTGATATGATATGATATGATATAGGGTAACATGAGTTTTATAATTGGAAACATTATTATGACTTGCACGTTTTCTTGAGCATTCAGCATACTATTAAAACTGATAACTTTTCAGTATCAACTTTTGTTAGTTTATTACTTTAAGAAAAAATAAATAAAATATAATCTATATTAGAGGAAAGGTACCAATTATGGAATACGTCCCTAATATGGAATACCGTAATATTTCTAAAACTAAGCACCACAAATATTCCAAACTTGTGCCATGTTACTCCTCCCGCTACCCACGTTCAACGGCCAGGGTGCGTGCGGCGTTCGGCAGCAATACACGCAAATGAGAGTGCGGGACACTGTTGGCGCAACATCAATCGGATATTTAGGTAAGTTTTACGTATATATTTCTTAATGTTCGTACAATCTCAAAATAAGTTGATATGTATCTGAACAAAGTATGTAGTTTTTTAATGATATTGTTATTTTACGAATTTTTAAAAATATTAAAAAGTTACATTTATTTATTAGTAATATGGAATACCGTTGAGGTCCTAATATGGAATAGTATTCTATATTAGAACCTCAACGAAAGTAAGTTTTTAATATAGTGTCTGATTACTATTTCTGTCTTTTACAGATATAATTGCGATCAAACTGACCCCACCAGTATGAAAAATGCTATTAAAGCCGTGAAAACCAAAAAAATGGGTTATAAGAAAGCTGCACAGGTTTTTAATGTACCTCGGACTACCCTCTTTCGGTTCTGTCATGATATGAACCAAATATAGACTACCGCCTTGGTCGTAAAACAGTTTTGGGACCTGACATTGAACATATTATGTTAGTACGAGTACAGTATGTCAAGCAAATGAAAAATAAAACGGTATTTTGGGCTTACACGAAATGATGTGAAGAGAATGGCATATCAGTTGGCGGTAAAAAATAATTTAAAACATCCTTTTAATAATAGAACAGCTGGACGTAAGTAAATGGTTAAAAGGGTTTTTTTCGAGGCATAAAGAACTTTCTCCGGTCCAACCTACTGGTACATAATTTGCTCGGGTTAAAGGCTTCACGAAAGAAAATGTTAAATTCTTCTTCGATTAACTGAAAAAGAAATTTGAGCTTTTTAAATTTCCACCAACTAGGATCTACAACGTCGACGAGACTGGGCTTAGCATTGTTCAATCGAAGACACCCAAGGGTTTAGCTTGCAGGGTTAATTTTATTATTTTCTTTTGATTAACGAGACTTGACCCTATTATGGAATACCCTATTCCAAAATAGGGTCACATTTTTGAGAAGCATATTTTTTGTTGATTTATTTTATTATTTTAAGAGAGTGATAATGACTACATTTAATTGTAATCAATGAGACTGATTAAAATAAAACTTTTGTACTGATTTTTTTAAGAAATTGTTTAAGTATTCCATATTCGGTCCTTTTCCTCTATATAAAAGAGGATGTCCTGAGTGACTGACTCATCTATCAGCGTACAGCCCAAACCGTTTGACGCAAAAATCTGAAATTTGGTCAGTAGCTGAATGAAAATTCAACTTCTATAATTTAAAATTAAAAATTTTGTACAGCCGACTTCAATATAAGTTATTAAGAGTGACTCAAACAACTCAAAAACTATTGGTCTGACCTTGATCAAATTCATATGGGACCACACGAGAAGTATCAGCTTTTATATAAAAAAAGAATCATCGAAATCGGTCCACCCAGTAAAAAGTTATGAGGTAACACACATAAAAAAAAAAACATACGCGTCGAATTGAGTACCGTCTCCTTTTTGGAAGTCGGCAGAAAATGATGTGTCTTACCTAGTTTGAAGAGCAACATATGTACATACATATGCACATATGTATGTACATATGTATGTATGTTATTTATTTATTTAACAAGTACACTTAGAATACACAACATACTATATGACATTATCACAAAAACATACACATTTTTATACTTTCTGTATTGCATATCAATTAGAATTTAACAGTGGTAGAGCCACGCGGCCGCTTTTGCTGTCGCACGGATGGGCCGGCTCAAACCGGGGTAGTACCACGACCTCACAGAATACCAGCGTGAAGTAAAGGTTTACCTCTGCGTTTCGCTTGGTGAGTGCAGCTGGCCGGAGTTTTTTTTTACTGGAAATGAGGCATTCCATCTTAGTCCTCACGGGTGACAACGCATCTGCATTTTGATTTGTAATAGAGGATAGATGTAGATGTCCATGTGCCGCAGCAACCACTTACCATCAGGTGGACTGTGTGCTCGTTTGTCACCCTTATCCTATAAAAAAATATTGTACATACCATTCACAGATTGAGTCATGCAACTTAATTTTGGATTAATTTGGAGTAGGAATAATATCCAATCAATACAATACAATGAGGAATTATTCAAGTACATTATGTACCTGCCTAAAAAAAAAAAAATTTGTAAATCCAATTGTGCATGCCTTAAGTGCATTAAAAAAATTACGTATAACACGATTATACCTAAAAAAATTTAAGTAGTTGAAATACACACAAGTTTTCACCAATAACCTTATTACTATGCTTGCAATTTTCCAATAAATGTCAAACTTCCATAAAAAAAATGTAAATTATAGTTCTATTCGTCAGAGTTCCGGTAGCAGTCACCGAAGTACACCTTGAAGAAACTCCGTCAAGTCCGGAGGTAAGGTCTATTCTTAACTAACAAAACGAATCCAATCTCGGCACATCTAGATTTCCTCGTCAAGGAGTTCCAGTAGCAGTCATCAAAATACACTTTCAAGTCAAGAGATGTGCTATTTGAAATACGTCTGTCAGTATTTTTTTTTATAAATATACTCCAAATTTGTAGGCTGCGGTAGGGGGTGTCTTGCTCGGCGGCAGTTTGCTCCTTATTTTTTTTATAGGAGAGGGGGCAAACGAGCATGCGGTCACCTGATAGTAAGTGACTACCGCCGCCCATGAACAACTGCAACACCAGGGAGGGAATTGCAGATGCGTTGCCGGCCTTTTAAGAAGGAGTACGCTCTTTTCTTGAAGGTCCCTAAGTCGTATCGGTCCGGAAAAATCGCTGATGGTAATCGATTCCACAAGGAAGTCGTGTGAGGAAGAAAACATCTTCTAAATCGCACAGTGGTGGACCGCCAATCATCCAGATGGTGTGGATGGTATCGGGAGTTCTGCCGTGATGTGCATTCGTGAAATTTGGCGGCTGGGATTAATCCGAACAATTCCTCAGAGCACTCCCCATGTGAAAGAAAATGCAAAGGGATGCAACATCTCTTCGCAGTGCCAATGAATCGAGCCGATCGGAAAGGGCTCGGTCGTCGACGATTCGAGCCGCTCAGCGCTGGATGCGGTCAAGTGGAAGGAGCTGGCACTGGGGAGCCCCTGCCCAGAGATGGGAACAGTATTCCATGTGAGGCCGAACCTGCGCCTTGTAAAGTTGCAGGCGGTGTGCCGGCATGAAATACTGTCCCGCTCTGCTAAGCACGCCAAGCTTTTTAGAGGCCAATTTGGCCTTCTCTTCCAAGTGACCACGAAACTGCACGTCACTCGATATGTCGACTCCGAGGATACCGATACTGGCTGAGGCAAGAAGGGGAGTGCCTTGAAACAGGAGATACAACAAAGGGGTTCTTTTTAGCGGTAAACGCGCAAACTTGTGTCTTCTGAGGATTAAACTGTACTAGATTTAGTCGCCCCCAATCCGAGACTTTGTTCAGCAAAGACTCGACTTCAGACACAGGTTTGTTCCGGTACTCGGCGACGTTTTCCCGAGAAATATTGGCACGGCCGGTGTACAGAGCATCACCAGTGCTGTCATCCGCATAGCAATGCATGTTACCAGTTAGCAACATATCATTGATATGCAGAAGACACAGCGTTGGTGATAGCACACAGCCTTGTGGAACACCAGCGTTAATAGGCTTGTAGTCAGAACATGCACCGTCTACAACGACCTTGATGCTCCGATCTGCAAGGAAGCTGGTGATCCAATTGCACAATTTCTCGGGAAGCCCATAGGAAGGGAGCTTCGAAAGAAGCGCTTTGTGCCAAACCCGATCGAAGGCCTTCGCAATGTCCATACTAACGGCCAACGCCTCCCCCTTTGACTCTACTGCCTCCGCCCATCTATGGGTCAGGTAGACCAGAAGATCACCAGCTGATCGACCCCGACGAAAACCGTATTGGCGGTCACTAATCAGCTGGTGATCCTCAAGGTACCGGATGAGCTGGCAGTTAATAATGTATTCCATTATTTTGGAGAACAAGGAGGTGATCGCGATAGGCCTATAGTTGGA